AACCCCTTGCGGAGTCACAGAATACGGATATCTTCCGGTTATTTTAAGATTCATTGAACGTTTGCTCATACTCATTTTTTTATATAACAACCCATACCAATGTATCGTACTCCATTGTAAGTGACAACTTAACATGAGACTGTAGAGATAAATTGTAGCTTACTGAGTTATTCGCCACCACAACCTCAACCCNAAAGTATTTCTGAATGATTTTTTTTCAAAATCCTTAACATCCTTATATAAGGCAAAAACCAGTCCGGGGGTGAATTAGTTGAGGTATAGCGTCTTAGCTTAAGACGCTATACCCAGTTGAATTATTGTTATGTCAGTTAAGTCCAGAAGAATTATTTGTGGGCCCACATAATACATATAACGTCTTAGTGAAAAACGCTATATATATAGCGTCTTTTTAAAAGACGCTATACTTAACTGGCCAAACGACCGTTAAGGTATAGCGTCTTTTAAAAAGACGCTATATATAATTTGGTCACTATGTATTTTTTCCACATATTTTTGTTCTTTGAATCCAAAAGAATCATATTTTAGTTCCGGACTAGAATTTTATAGGTACCTATAAAATTAATTAAGGTCGCATTAGCTGATTCGGACACGGTTATAAAAAAATAAAATTTCGAACCATCAAAGATTCAAACAAACTCGCCTCTAACTTCAGCTTGTCTCCTTTCTATTGTAATTTATTTCTAAGACTACAACAACATACTCAGTATTATTGTTTTCTAAGAGTATTATGAATTTATTAAAATTTAACACTATTACTGTAAAATAAATTTTTTGAGATTATTTCTGTATTTTACCATAAATTAGACTGCATTTGTTTTTTCCGAGTGTCATGATCTTCATCTCCAGAATTTGTAAACCAACTAAATAATAACCTTTTCAAGCAGCTTGAACCAAGAGAGACTTCTCTTTTCTCATTTTTGTTTCCTACATAGTGATAGGGAATTCATAAGTTCCAACTGGAAATAGTAGCTAAACCTCAATTGTTATTCGAACTCGTGACATTACAATTTAGATTTGTCTATTTGTAACATCTTATAAACTAGCTGTCCTCTATTAACACATGTTTCTTCTTGAGTGGATTATATTCTTCGCATGTTTTGAATGTAAACATAGTGGAGTTTTCTTTTCCCTCCGTGCATAGCAGATCACCAAGAGTTTTATTATTGTTCGTATTTACGGGTTGTTTATTAGCACGAAAAATAATGTTCAAATGGGCACTAATAAGATGCATCATATCTTAGCCCATGCCGGGGGGAGTGAATAACCCAATAAAGTTGGGCTCTGTTTAGAAAAAAGAAATTTCATTTTTGGACTTCTTTCTTCATTTCCCCTAAGTCATAATGGGTGATTTGCACAAATAGGAGATTTTTGTGCCACTATTTTTGTTTTAATTCTGTTTAAATAAGTTTAGGAGAAAAACGTGATTCGGAACTTGGAATTTGCGGGTTTGAACTTGATACATGTCTTGGCGGATCGCCAGAGGTTCGGATGAATGGACAAACACTTGCCTTGTCACAAGTCTTGCAAGTCACCGACCTTTTTAGTGCAAATTGTATCATAACTGTTGGTACAAATGTAAGTCGTTTTGAGAGTTGTAGCCTCGTTCTCATATTTACTACTCATTTTATACTTTATAGCTGTTATGTGATTTACCGGGGTAGTCGGTTCGGGTCTGGAGGGATTTCGGAATGAAATGAGACACTTAGTCTCAAGGTTGAAGCTTAAGTTGAAATGATTCACCGAATGTGACTTATATGTAAACGACTCCGGAATGAAGTGTTGATGATTCTGTTAGCTTCGTTAGGTGATTTTGGACTTATGAGCTTGTCCGGATTGTGATTTGGAAGTCCGTAGTGGAATTAGGCTTGAAATGGCAAAAATTAGATTTTGGGAAAGTTTGACCGGGAGTGGACTTTTTGATATCGGGGTCGGATTCCGATTCCAGAAGTTGAAATAGGTCTGTAATGTCAAATGTGACTTGTGTGCAAAAATTGGGGCCAATCAGACGTGATTTGATAAGTTTCTGTGTCGTTTGTTTGTTGGAATTCCTTAGCTTCAATAGGCTTGAATAGGGGTACGATTCGTGTTTTAGATGTTATTTGATGTGATTTGAGGCCTCGATTAAGTTCGTATCGTGTTTTAGTACTTGTTGGTATGTTTGGTTGAGGTCCCGGGGGCCTCTGGTTGATTTCGGATGGTTTTCGGATCAAAGTTTGAGTTTGAGAGACTGTTGAAGCTCGGACTCTGCTGGTGTAACCGCACCTGCAGAGCTTTGATCGCAGGTGCGGGCTGTGTTGCGGAGATGCGACTTTTTGAGAGGAGTGTGTAGTGGTCGCAGGTGCGGTAGTGGGATTGCAGAAGCGGAAATGGAAATGGGAGCTGGGTCAGGGGCCGCAGGAGCGGAGGAAGCCGCATAAGCGAGAATGCTGGGCAAATTATTTAAAAACGAGAGTTCGCGATTTTGCTTTATTTTAAACATTTCAAGCTCGGTTTTGGGCGATTCTTGAGAGGATTTTCGAAGGATTTCTTGAGGTAAGTCCCTTGTGCTCATTTTTTATCAATAATCTTGTTTCCCCCGTTGAATTTCCCACCTAGTTTTATGTATATTAAGGTGGAGTTTGGGAGTTTGAGGCTAGGGATTTGAAGAGTTTGATTTGAGGATTTGAGTGACGATTTGGAGTCGAATTTTGGTAATTTTAGTATGGTTGGACTCCTCGATGAATGAGCTTTCGGGTTTTGTGACTTTTATCAATTTTTGAGACGTCGGCCCGAAAGCCGACTTTTGAGCCGTTTTTTGACTTTTGATTAATAACTTAGTATTTTTCTTTTGGAATTAATTCCTTTAGCCCGTGTTGATTATATAGAATTGTTTATGGCTAGATTCGAAGCATTCAGAGGCCGTTTCGCGAGGCAAGGGTGTGTTGGGGTAGAGATTTGCTCGGATTGAGGTAAGTAACAGTCTTAAATTTGGTTCTTAAGATATGAAACCTTGTATATGTGTAATGCGATTGGTTTTGAGGTGACGCACATGCTAGGTGACAGGCGTGTGGGCATGCACCGTAGAAATTATAACTTATTCAAATTCCATAAAACTGTGTAGTTGAATAATCTATTGTTATCCGTACATTCTCCATGTATTAGAGAAATTTAACTACAAATCATGTTAAAAATCATGTTTAGACTATGTGTTGGCACACTAGGGACCCACATAGGTCGTGTACATTTTGAATTATCTGCTAAATTATTGTTTTATACTCAGTCACAGTTTTACTTGCATATTACATCTCAGTTTCTATTATTCGTTATTGATGCATTATATCATTGATGTTTGGGCTAATTATCATGATTTTCGAGGGCCCGAAAGACTGAAGATGACTTAGTGAGGCGGAGGGCCTGATTGTGAGGATATTTATGGGCTCGGGTTGCATGCCGCAACATGTTTAATTTATTTATACCTTGATTGGCTTGTTATAGTGCTTGTGCTGAAGGAGCCCCTCCCGAGTCTGTACACACCTCCAGTGAGCGCATGTACCTACTGAGTGTGAGTGCCAAGTGCTGAGCGATTGAGAGGAATACGTGACTGAGAAATGAGTGATTGTGAGGCTGGAGTGAATGGAAGGACTGAACGACTGTTGCTCTGAGAGGATGCATTTGACTTTAATTTCTGTTGCACTTCAGCTGTCATATATCACCATCTTGTAATTTCTGGAAGATATTATACTCTGTTTCACTTGAATTTGACATGGATTAACTGTTATGGCCTGAATTGTCGAACTTGAAAGCATGCCTACCTTCCTATGTTGAAATTACTGCAATTGAACTATAACTGTGAAGCTCGTCACTACTTTCAGTCCTTTACTTAGTCTTGTTACTTACTGTGTTGGTTGTACTCACGCTACACCCTGTACTTCGTGTGCAGATCCAGGTGTTTCCGGACACGGTGGATGTTGATTCCTTTGCTCAGTTGATCGTTTGAGGATTTCAAGGTAGCTGTCCGACGTTTCGTAGATCTTGTCTCTCCTTCCCTATCTTTCTGCTTTATGTATTTAGTTTGAGACTATTATAGACAGTACTCCTAGATTTGTGATGTTTAGACGCTCATGTACTTAGTGACACCCCGATGTTAGGAATTTTCTATATTGGTTTTGACTTTCTATCCAGTTTTTAGAGTTTGATGAATTTAAACCTGCGTTGTTTTACCTTTTATTTAAAAGTGTTGGAATCATTTTGAAATGTCGGCTTGTCTAGTACCATGTTAGGCGTCATTACGACATGCTACGTTTTGGGCCGTGACAATAAATTATTTATAAGTCTTTGACAGATCACCATAAATTTTTTATGAATGAGGAAAGACTTGCGTTGCTACAAGTCCTATGAGATCATAGACAAATTGTATAATAACCTGTGAACAAAATATTCAGAAATCATAGTGGATAACTAGGAGTTTATAACAGATGGACTTACTTGCATTTGCCAAGAGTCCTAGGGTATTATCAACACTTCAGTTCAAAATTATGTAACAATTTTGGTACAAATTATTCAAAAATCATGATGGATAGTCAATATTTGTACAAAAATTTCATCAGCACAATTTTTTCTGCAAAAATTATCCAAATTAACGTCAAATTTGATATCCAACCTTCTAATACCAATCTCAATAATTTCCAATGGTTAGATTAAGTCTAAACTTTCAAAAATCAATACAAGCACCTTGCCAAATTTTTTTATTTTGTGCCTTACACAACTGACACTTGTTGTATGAGACTTTTTTTTTTAATCACAATTTTGTGGATCAAGATGTGTAAGATATGAGTCCACAAAAAGAAGCTCCACGCAACTAATGTCAGTTGTGTGAGGCACACCGTAAAATCACTCCACCTTGACCTTTTCAACATTCAGGTTCAATAAACCAAACAATGGTCTTCTGTAAAAATTAAAAAAAAAACAAAAAAAAAGCCTAACAATGGTGGTCATAAAATATTCATATCATATGATTAATAAAATAATTATATTTTCCTTGAAAAAAGCGCCACCACTAAAGTTTGAAATCACAATTCCCCGCCAAACCAAATACTGCTGAATTTCTCATTCTTTGTCCCCAATCTCCCATTAGCACCTGCTCAGTCCATGCGTAACTTGCAGTTTATGCAGAATAGAGGGAAGAAAGAGCGGAACAATGGAGAGTGGAATGATATCAGTGGATCGTTGGAGCAGGGGAAGCCAAGTCTACTTCCTAACTCACCTTCACGCCGACCACGTACGTGGACTTACTCCGAACTGGACACGCGGACCCCTTTACTGCTCACGCATCACTGCTAAGCTCTTTCCCATCAAATTCTCAGGCTTCGACCTTTCTCTCATTCGCATTGTTGAAATTGGTCACTGGCACTCTGTTTCTCTACTGTCTCCTTCCTCGGGTTCTTCTACTACTGTCTATTTCATGGCCATCGATGCTCATCATTGCCCCGGTATAGAGCTTTAATATGCGTAATTTTGTCACTCCTTTTTTTTTGTGCTCACTACGTGTTTGATTAATTTCCCTATGTGTTTCAAGCTTTTATGTGATTCAATCTCTATAGTTGTCTGCTGGAATAATATCAACGGGTAGTTGCAGTTTACACGTGGATAGATATTCGCATATAAATTAGTTCTAAGATTGTCTTTACTTATTTACATAGACAAATTAATTGATCATTTTCATATGTTTTTGTCTCAAAATTTTGAACTGTTCAGAGGTCTTGATACTATGAGTATACTAATATATCTCTTGGAGTATTATTACTAATAGCGACTTTTTATTGAGCTTAAATTGCTCGCAGCTTTCTTGTGTTTTTCTTCCACTAAAGTGAAAACACTGCTACCAGGAGCAATGATGTATCTGTTTCGTGGTGAATTTGGCTGCACGCTCTATACTGGGGATTTTCGTTGGGAGAGCACAAGTGAGAGAGCACAAAATGGAAGGACCATGCTGCTTAATGCTCTGAAGGATTTACAGCTTGACATGCTTTACTTGGATAATACTTACTGTAACCCTACATACTCATTTCCTTCTCGTGAAGTTGCAGCTAGACAGGTGCATTTTGTAAAATCATAATCGGCCTTCTGTCTTATGACATATTATAATTCCCTTTTCAATCTCAAGCTGCAAAAATCCAACTTGTAGAAATTGTTTAATAATTGTGATACTTGTTTGAGGAAGTTACTACATAGAGCATTGCCAGATTGGTTTAATTTCTGATGAATGATTCCAGGTTTTAAGCATCATATCTAGTCACCCTAATCATGATATTGTCATTGCCGTTGATACACTGGGGAAAGAAAATCTTCTGTTGTACATATCACGTGTCCTGAAAACAAAGGTACGTTTCTATCTATACAAAATAATCAGAGCTACTGTTTCTTTTGAGTCAGTATTACGAGACACCCAAAGTTTACCAGAACTATACAACTTTATCTTTATGATCAGTAGCAATGCAGTTATTCCTGGCAAGAAATTTCCGTATTCTATTGTTTGGAGGTAGAAATCCTAACTTAGGATACTTGATACCAGTAGATGGGCACATCTCTCTCCTCTTGTTATATATTTATTTCTTGCTCTAAAAATTGCAATTTCAAGTTAAAACTGAGTTAATAAATTTTCAGATTGTTTCCCTCTGGATATTATTAGCATAATTGTGTCACTACAGGAACAAAAAAAAGTCCTTTCATTCTGTGCTCTTGGAAACTGCTGCCCCATTGGCAAGCTTTATGCTTCAATTGCTCTTCAACTGCCTTGCAGATTTGGGTGTGGCCAGAACGCTTACAAATTATGCATCTTCTTGGGTTCCATGAGATCTTTACGACTAAAACTTCACTAACAAGGATTCGTGCTGTTCCTCGTTATAGTTTTAACATTGAAACTCTGGAGGAACTGAATACGATACGTCCAACCATAGGGATCATGCCATCTGGTCTCCCTTGGGCGCAAAAATCTGCCAGAGGAAAGGACAACTTTTCCTTTACATGGCACACAAATATTACCACCTCCATTAGCACAAGCAAGACAATTGGAGGTTCACTAACTGCAGGGAGTTATGATAAGTACATATATAGAGTTCCATATTCTGATCACTCATGCTTTCCCGAGTTAGAAACATTTGTTGAGTTTCTCAAGCCAATTAATATCAAAGGCATTGTATCTTCATCTACTTCTTATGTGGAACCCCTTTACCACTTTGGACACCTTTGTCGGACCCAGCAAGAGTCAGAGTTCTTATTTCAGAAGCTGAGAAGTAAAGGATGTGAAAAAGTTGAAGTTATTCATGCAAAGTCTCCCTTTGGAGACACCAGTACAGTGCCATTAGGGAGGAAAAGGAGAATAAGACGAATTTTTAGTACAGGTAATCATGTTAGTAGGGTGAGGTTGTTGAGAAGAGAGAGGCAAGGAGTAAAGATTGTGGACAGAGATCCTGATTAACCTTCTACATGTCCTCCACAGGTTTTTTTTTTATATACACAGGTTCTGAAGTTAATCCATTGTGTGTAATGATGTAGAACTTCCTTCCACCATAAAAGAGACATTAGAAGCAGAAAAGGAATCTTTGCTTAGATTATGATTTGTATGTCTAGATCTTCTGGAGAACTTAGAAGAGCTCAAGAGTTCATTTTCTTACTTGGTCTCCACATACATGACTCATATTACTCTGCAAAGCTTTTCTTAAGGCTTGTAGACAAGTAATCTTTGTATTTTGTGTTAACATGAATTATTCTTTTTGTACAAATGAGATTGTTTACCCGAAAAACGGATATAGTTAAATTTGTACGCAGTTCTAAGGATACGTGGTGCAACTTAATACAAATCGCAAGTATAAATGGAAATATCAAGTATGGATTGCGAAAAATGCAAAAATAGACAAGGTTGTAAAGAAGATGAATTTTAGGACTAAACAAGTGGAATCAAATTAAGAAGTTTGAAAGAACAACTCTTCACTATAAGAGAATATGGTGCTTGAATTACAATGTTAGCCAAAACCTCTTTTCTACAGAAATGATAACCACCCTCTTTATAGTAGAGGGATCTTACTTTAGATATAAAAAAAATACGTAGTGGGAGACCCATGATAAATCAGTTTTCCCACAATTCCTAACAAGATTCTCTCCTCTAGTGGGATTGCAACGGCTCTTGTCTATGAGCTCGATATTGACTCGAGTTTTTCGGTCTTGACTCGAGCTCTCGATCATGGCTTGAGTTCGATTCTGACTCGGACCCTTGAATTGATTCGGGGTCAATATTGGTTGGTCTCTGAATCATAAGCTCGAGAACTTTACTTTGCATCATAGTTCGATTTGGATTCGAGCTTGATGATAATATCGAGCTCGACATTGATCGGCCCCGCGGACTCGAAGCTTGTTTGTACCATCTTTGGAACCCATCTCGAAGCCTTACTTCGATCGATTATGTTTCGAACTCGATCAATCATACGAAGGTCGAAATCTATTTCAACCGTATACAGATAGTCCCCTCGTTTCTCAGGAAGAATATGGTGAGAAACGATATGATTTTTTCAATGGCTCGATCGGATAATAAGCTGACGTTTACATTGAGCTCGACTATGACGCATGTGACAACTGTTCCGTCGATTTAGTCTTTCAAGGTATTTAATGCATGTCAGACGGTGGTCGGCCACCGCTGATACTGAACCGCCATTGCTTAAACGTATAAATAACCCTTTCTTTAATCATTTATCACTTTTACATCTTCAACCTTCCAAATTTCCCAATTTCTTTTTTGTATTCTCTGAGTTTATACGCAAATCTGTGATTCCTCTTTGCAAAATTCTTCTTCCAAATTACCAAATCTTTGTTACCTTCTTTAAATCCAAAATGGTGAAGACATCCAAAACCGTCTCCCAAAAGGAAAAAGCTTCTTCTTCCCAATCCGCCGCCGATAAAACACCGGTGGATCCTCGCCCTGAGGAGTGCATTCCGGCGGCGTGTGTTCTTACCTCCGATTTCAAACTTGATAAATGTTCACCGGTTCCTGGCCGATGTGAGCCCGTATCGAGATATATTTGTTTGATAACCCGGGAGCACATCGAGCGGATAAAAAGAGATTGTAACTGGGAGAACAAAGAGGTGGTAGTGCCGTCTCCTGAAGAGGATATTACTACTCACGTGAGAGGGTTTTTAAGCGTGTATACTTACCCTTTCACGTTAGGCCCCCTCGACCCTGTTATCATAGATTTTTGTCGTAAATACTTAATAACCCTAGGTTAGATACATCCTTCCTTTTGGCAAATCATTATTTTGATATGATATTTTGTGAGTAAAATCGAGGGGATTCCTTTCACCCTTGATTATCTTGTCTGATTATACCGTCCTCGCCTTTTTCGAGGAGGGTTAATAAAACTCCAACGTCGAGCTACCAAGGCTTTGTTCTCGAGTATAGACGAGGATAAGGATCGAGGCTGGATGAGCTGGTCCGTTCGAGTGAGGACTTCGGACCTGATCCCGACCGAAAAGATGCCATTTCCCGAGGAGTGGAACTTGAAGCGTAAGTGTAATTCTGCTGTTATCTGCTATTATTTTGTTCTTTCATTTCTTTTCTCACCAATATTCCCCTTTTGTGATGCAGCAGTTCCCTGAATGCCCGGCACAGTGCCCGATCTCAAGAACTGGGTACGTGATCTGGTTTCGACCTCCTCATATGCCGAGCGCTCATGGTGCGACTTGTCAAAGGGCCGATGGGAGGCCAAAAATCACGGTGAGCACCTCTCTCGTATCTTTTGGTAATTTGAATAAGATGCTTTTAACATACTTCAATAAAAATTTCCGTATGCAGGTGTGGGCAAGGATGCGGTTTTGAGGCCCTCGTCTGTCGAGGAAGAGGCTTCGGCCTCTGTCCCAAAGCCGGTGAAAGATAATAAGAGGAAAAGAGCCTCTGTCCTCGAAGACCAAAAATCGAAGAAGAGGACGACTCGTAAGCCGAACAAGAATACCATTCCTTTACCGTAGAATTAGTTCTGCGTCTGAGGGATGAAGAAGAGGAAGAAGAAGAGAACGATGGGTCCGCTCTGGCGGCCCGAACAAAGAAGACCACCGACACTCCACAGGCAGCTGGATCGATGGTGGTTCATAAGGCTCCGCCTCGAACTGAGGATATATCGGAGAGAGATTCGGGTAGAGTCCCCAAGTTGCTGGAGATCGAAGATGTTTCCCATCGAAGCCGACTGATGGGGGATATGTCTGAAGGGGCTCTTCCCAAATCTTTTCGAACCGAAGAGAATGCCCTAGATAACTCATTTGGGGTAGTAGCAATCGAAGGCTCGCCCACCTTCCCTGCTTTTTCTACAGGGGCGATTCGGGAAGCCCAAGCTTTGGGGGCTCTCGAATTAGATAGGCCTCATGATGGAGAGGATCCTTTTCGTGACCTGTTCATCGGCGTCGAAGACACTGCCGGTACAAGTGACGCATCAGATCTTTTTCACGGAGTGCAGCATGCTTTGAATCAGGTAGGTCTTAAATCATATGGCGTTACCCTTAAGTTTGCTTTTCCTTTCTGACTTCGTTTCTTCTTTCTCTGCAGGCCGCGACAGTTCATCGAGAATCATGTTCTCGGTCCCGAACCGAGCTGCGTCGATACGAGGCCGAGCTTCAACGGGTTACGGAGGAGAGGAACTCCTTAAAGCTCCTTTTGGGCCAAAAGGGAGAGGAAATAAAAGACCTCCAAGCTGAGTTGGCCAGGGCTCACCAAGATCAGATCGATCTATCCGAGCAGGTAATAATACTTTTAAAAGCCTATGGGCTTGATACCGGAACGATGGCTAATATTTCAATCTCACAGCTGCAGCAGAAAATCGAGATGATCGAAAAACTCCGTGAAGAAGTTGATGTGATAAGAGCAGAGTCTTTGAAGTGGAAAGTAGGAATGGACCGCTTTGCTGCAAAGAAAGAAACTGCTCGAGCCCAATTGTCATCGGCCGAAAACCAACTTCAAAAAATGAAGGAAAAAAGCTCGGTCCAAGCAAGAGGAATAGAGGAGCTCGAGGCTCGGTTGGCCTCTGTACTTGCCAAGGCCGAATCTGACACCGAAAAGGCAAAGGCCGATGCGGATGCACTCGTGGCCGTCTATCGGGCCG